GCTCTGAAGTTCATCCGAGAGCCTTCGTTCAATTTCAGAGGTCAGCAAATCAGGGTGAGTCTGAAGAATAGAACTCTTATTTCACATTTAAGGCCTTTGTGAGATTTTATTAATTACACACATAATTAATTACACTTAATTCAATAACCCTTAGGATAATCTGCATAATTCTTTGAGGAGTGGGACCGTATTTTCTAATTAAGGGGATTCGTGGCCAAAATTTTGTTCTTTAGAACTTAAGTTGTGACAACCGAACCAATTTAATTAAATACTAAAGGGAGAAATAATTGATGTTTAATTTATTTCTCTTTTTTGTTGAATGAATTAAATGTTGTTTTATGGCGCCCATTGACTAGGCTACTAAACTGGTTTGCAAATTAGGGCTGTAGTCATCCTGTCCCAGGTTATGAAGGACTGATAGTTAAATTTTTTCATAACCATATGAATAGACCTCATGATGCATTTTATTTCACTCAGCCTTGCTTCCCAACAAGTGTTCTTATCAAGGGTGGATTGTAGTTTCCACTTCGACTGGGTCTCATCAGCACCCACGTCGATGAAGCAACGTTGTATTAGTAATGGCAATTTGCCATAGCTCTTATATCAGATCTACTGATAGTCTCGAAAAAGTGAATTAAGTAATTTAATCGATTGTGTGATATGGTAAAATTTCTGACCTTTGAAATTCACATCCACCCCGTGACCGAGAGGTATTCGTGGCAATATGGCGCAGTCGTTAATGTGTCAAGATTGTATGTTGTACTGTCACGGCTCGGGTTCCGCTAGGAGTGTTGATGAGACTTTTGCGAAGTCGAAACAGCAGGCTGTTTTAGAATTATCTGGATGAAAACACCTTTTTTAAAACAAGGCTATGTGAAATTCAGTGTAAACGCCAACTTTACTCATATAATTGTGGAAAAATTTTAATACTAGTCCTTTTTCACCTTTAACGAAATGGTGTGGATACATTTCATTTAACCTGTCTTTTTCTCTACTCTCATTCATATTGTCATTAAATCTCATATTTTTGAAACACTTTGAGGATTTGCATTTTATCCCTATTGCAGATTTCGAAATCGTGTTTTGCTTGTCATACTCTAGTTGGGGCTTCAGTGTATAATTATCAAAAGTTTTATTATTGTTCCCATATTCAGTTTGGCTTACTTTTGTAATCTAATTTTATTTTTTGTCTCCACATTAATTAAATTTCTTAGTCTTTTAGGCTCTAGTTATCGCATTTTAGGTGGATTAATGTTACTATTGTTTAATTAAGCTTCATACTATCGTATACTTTAATCTTGATTAACGAAATCGTAATTTATATGATTGAAATTTCCATTTTCCATGTTCTTATAAATTATGTGGAAATCTGCTTTATCCTTAAAAATATGAAACACTTATACAATTTATACCTTGTTCAATCCATATGCAATCTCGATTCCTGAAAGCCTGGGTATTTTAATTTGACTTTCATATTGTGTGTGGAATCTCTTATTTTTAAGTATGTGCTTCTAGGTTGTTTGATTCCGCCTTAATATTTTACCTTTCTTTCTTATCAGACCTCTAATTGAGGTGAATACATTATTTTTAATACGTTTGACTTTTTCTAGTTCGTATAGGATCTTGATGATAGCATAGGCATGGAAAACTGCTATATATCTTTTATAAATAGCGACGTTCTTACAATTTCTAATAAAATGCTTTTCTCAAGCTTTACTTAAAGCCTATTAAGTGTTAATTCTTTTATCTCATTATTTTCCTTTGTCTAGCTAACCAATTACATCCATATCGCACATTACCAATCAAATTGATGTTAGTAGACTTCTTTCTCGAGCTTTGGTTATTCATTTGCCATCAAATACATATTCTACGTTTTTAACCTGAAAAACAACTGTTCGGTCCACCTTTTCCCTTTTTAGGCTCAACTGTCTCCCGAGTTCGGCTTGGCGACTATTATTACTATGGATGGGGTACCGAAAAGGATTTTACAATGGCGATTCAACAGTACCGCATTGCTTCGGATATGCAACGCAATTCACAAGCTATGTTCAACCTGGCCTATATGCATGAGCATGGAGAAGGTTTTAAGCGAGTGAGTAGCAATGATACTTGCGACATTTTGATGCACTTTTGGTCGTTTGATGGTCTGGGAATTGATGAGACGATCTCAAAAACCTTGCTTGCCATTAATTTCATTGCAATGTCAATCCACATTAGATAGAAACTTATTTTTTGGTACTCATGGGACAATGCATCTCCATGAGAAAATAAAGTTCTCCCTTTCTGAACTGAGCATATATTTTTTGTCTTACTTCTTGGAAAAGATTAACTTAGTCACGACCTCACATTTAATGTGAACTGTCTACCTTGTTCCAATTAGGAGTCTCCATACCTTATACACACACACTTCATTTTTAGTCACACCTCCGCATAAATCACAACTTAAAACTAATCGAGTAACTGCCATTTTTGATTACCTATTCCAAGTCAGCCCTTAGGAGATATTCGTTGCCACTCCTCCTTTTTATAGAGCCGAAAAGACACACTTGTGAACACATTTGCCACCATCCTTATATATTCGCATAAATTCATTTACCCTTATCAGTACACTTTGCTATTGGTTGTATGTCCCCCTCTTCTGATTGGCGGTCCATATTTTAAGGTAGCATGCACAACTTTTTGCATATGACTTGCTGTAATCCATATTCCTTAATTTTTTTCGAATTTTTCACTTAGACACTAACATATGGTTCAAGGGGTGCTGATTCTGTGCATGAGGCCACGGCAGAGCATAGACTACGCATTTATAGGAAAATGAAGCTAAAGAAGATAGAGAATCATGCGGTGCCATAATCGTATATATAACTTTCTGATTAGAGTGTTGGAGAGCTGATTGGCGGCCGGAAGTAGCGACTGAGAGATGTAAGATATAATTGCCTTGCTTAAATATAGGGCCAGAGGAGCTTAATAGCAAGCCCAGACAGGAACTGACAAGATAGTTATAGGAAAACTGGGTATGTTGGATGAGCTCCGGAGGCAAACTGTTTATAGAATTGGCCTGACTTCATTTTCGAAATTTGGTCGTGTTGCCAGGGTGGCCGGGTTAGACACACCTTGTCCGAAGTCCTCTGCGGACCTTGGATTATCACACTCAGACGTTTCAAATGCGTTGTAGACGGCATCGTCATTGCGTCTTGCCATTCTCATCACCAAGCAGTAACGAATCAGAGATAAGTGAAGCTAAGTCTGCTCGAGATATAACTTCAACTTTGGGGGCCTATCAGCCACAGGACTAAGGAGACGGATAATCATAACCCTTACAGAATTTTGACATTATTGCCAAATTAATCAGAAATCCACATGAGACAACAGGCGACCAGAGATAAACGTCCATGGTTTGCTCAGGGTACACTGGCTGAATCAGGGAGATGACCTGTGAAGACAATGCTTAAAATCTGCAAGTATGGGTATCAGAGCCTAGGC